AACAGGGGAACTGTCGTATGGTTTTTATGTGACTGTGCCCCTATACCCGCGGTGGAATGCAGCTGCAATCAAGGACATACATTTGTTACTTATTAGGCGCGGCGACCGCCCCGCCCCCAATTTCTAATACCAGGAAGGAAATTTGGCAGTCTTAGTTCCGAAGCATCATGTTCTGCAATCTATTAGGATTTTGCATATTAATTGATTACTGCTGATTTTAATCTTCTGGAAATCTACTGGGGTCATCCTCGGATCCGAGCTGATTTCAGTTCATACCCGAAGCCTTTCCTGTCGACATGTGAGATCAGGATTTCGGTTTTCTACCCATTAAGATAAAAAGACTTTGCAGAAAATATCGCCCCACTCCTGGTTTTCGTAAAGCATTAAGATGTATCTTAGACCCCAGGTCTAGTGTAATCCTTTCGTAATTCCGATACAAGTTCGAGAAATTCGGATTGATCCGAAGTTTTTAACTCACTTTCTCCCTCATTAATTTTTGTAAGGTGTGTGATGATCATGCCACTATTCACCTCCCGTTCGCCCTGAACTTTAATCGCATTCTACACGGGCTCCGTTGTCATCTTCACCCTCAATGCGACATATCGACCTTGCACTTAATTTGGCCTATTGTTGAACGGACTGGATCTCGCTCCGGAGGAATGAAACCTACTCCCAAAATTCCACCATTAAAATCTGCAACATATTTTGCCATACTCTGTGCAGCGGGATGCTCACGGAAACCCAGTAACAACTAGCAGTCTCGTCGCTAGCGATTTTACTGCGTTGTTGGCTGAGAAACCCAGTGGGACTTTAAATTGTTCATGGTGAATTTCGCGTCGAGGTAGTTTTAGGAGTTTTTCCTTACCCTTTTGCTGTTCTCCTGACCACTTAACTGTTGGGCAACTCGTCGCGCATAGGAAAGTATTATTTGCGACGTCCTCCGCGCGGATGGACTAAATAAATATATAAGGCTTCCCAACTACCCATACACATTATTTTTAATAATACAAGCGAACATGCGAGTCCCAGGAAGTAATTGAGATGTAGAAGACGCCGCAATTCTCGCAAGAGATGACAATCGAGTGAGCCCAGAATTACTTCAGTCATGGTTCACGGGCCCCCAATCCATCAACAAGTGCAAC